GTATCGTGAAGTGCGGACCGCACTGGTTGCGGACCGTGGACTGGGGCCTGGCGCAAGACGGAGGGCGGATGCCGCAGTGGCAGGTGTGGTGTGTGTGTTGTGTTGTGGTGTGTGTGTGTGTGTGTGTGTGCACAAGGTACTGGAGCGCTTGGGTGGGTTGGGGAGTGTGGGGGGGGAGTGGGGAGTGGCAGCCCTGCCTTGGGGCCAGGCTGCTGGAAGGGGGAGGGGTGGTGGACTATCGCACACGGGTCATGCTGCGCGGTGTGTTTCACTCCTCGGTGGGACCTGTTCTGACAGCTTGCTGTCCTGCCCGGCAACATGCCGTTCCTCCAGCCAGCACCCCCCAGCACACGAGACGAGACGTCCTTGCAGCCCCTACCTTGTACTTGCCGCCCCGAAGGTGTTCCCTTCGCCGAAACTTAAACACTTCTCCCTTTCTCTCAAACCTCTCCCTCTCGCCCCAACCTCTCGGCAGCCTCCTGTCTCACTGCCTGCTGTCTTGGCTGTCTTCGTCTCCCCTTCCCAGTCTTTCCATGGCATCAGCTTCACTCGCTCGTGGTTCGTCTTCCCCCCCCTTCCCCCATCAGGTGATCATCCCGCTGTACAGTCCCGCCACCATACTAACTGTCGGAATATTCACAAGCTCAGCGAAATCGGTGAGAGGACTAGCTGCCGGGGCTAGCTGCCAAACCCGACCGATCCCCCCTCCCCGCCAAAGCCAACCCGTGCCACCCCAGCCACCATCGACCAGCGCCAGCCGAAACCCGCAGTGCGGTCTACCGGACATTAATAGCAGCAGGGTGTCACGGTGCACCGTCCCTGTACGTGTAGCAGCAGCTGCTGTAACGCAGTAAGGGCGACCGAGCCTTTAAGCTGCTGCATCGCCACCACCCTCCTGCACCACCACTAGCGCCACCACCACCACCACCACCACCACCACCACCACCACCACCACCACCACCATGCCGCGCAGTGGCTCCGCGCAGCCGAGGGAGGGCCCTGAGGGCAGGGGTTCGCCTCCGGGTTGCTGGTGTTGACTTGCGTTGTGGTGGTGTGGAGACTCAGGGACTCAGGGAGGTGCCCCATCAAGTGGAACCACCTCACACTTCACCTCACGAGAGCTTACTCTTTGGCAGCACCGGGGGGGGTTTTCGGAGCGCGCTGCCCTGTCCTGCTCTGGGACTATAATTATTTCCCTCGAAGGCCTGAGATCCCTTTTTCGTCCTTCCTACTTATCCGTGCCTGTCCCCTGCCGTCTGTAACGCATAACCCCTGGACTCGACCCGGGGTGCGTGGCGTGGACTGCGGCCTGCGGGCTTTTCAGGTACTGGGCCTCACCTTCAGTGACAACCTCGCTCTCGTCTCCAGGGTACGGCTGAAGCTGTCATCCGTACGGCCTTTCCGACGTTCCTGGCACATCGTCGCGATGTACATGAACGGTACGACGGGTACGGTGCCGCCGGTCACGTGCTGCGCTGGCGCGGGAATGGAACCTGGGGCTAGGGGAGCGCCGCACCAGGACAGGACTCGGGGAAACGCTCCGAAGTACGGAAGGCTCCGAAACCTAGGGGCATCCGCTGGGGCGTTGTCCATGGAGCTGCCCCCATCCCATTTCTTCCCCCCCCCACGGGAGGATTACCCCCCCAACCGGTGTATGGGTGCGGAGGTCACAGGAGCATGTATCGATCCGTTGTAGCACCTTTCCCAACGGCGTATAAGGAATAGCGTAATAGCCTAACCGAACACTGCCTCCATCGCTGTAGCATCTCGACCTCCCTGTAACGGAAATCTGCCGCCATTACCGCTATGGTTCCCTGTCATTGAGCCGCCTTCAATTCACAGTCCGTTACACCTACGGGTGTTGTGTTGTTGTGTTGTGTTGTGCTGTTGTGTTGTGCTGTTGTGCTGTTGTGTTGTGCTGTTGTTGTGTTGTTGTGGTTCCCACAGGGTCCCCTTCGGCGTCTGCCGCCCCTGGCAGCGGGGCACCCCTCGTGGCGGTGTTGGGTCTCAAGCTGCAGTACAGCGGCATCGGCCCCCTGGCAGCCGCCTACCTGATGCCGCCCTCCCCGGAGTCGCTGTACGAGATGGAGCTGGACGCGGACATGGCGCTCAAGATGGAGGCAGACGCGAGGAAAATCTCGGAGAAGTATGTATGGGGTGGGTATGGACCTGGCGGGGGGGAGGGAGGAGAGGAGAGGGGAGGAGAACGGTTGGTACTTTTCCTACGGTTGGTACTCTTGGGTTTTCATGCTCTTATGCTCTTGGGCGCCAGGTGAGGTTGTAGGACCTTTGTCAGTAGAGTATTTAGGTCGAAACCAAACAACCATGAAAGACCTTCCAACAAGAAACGCGGGAAACCTCCAAAAATCCCAGATTCCGAAACTACTAAGCACGCTTGTGCGTCTAAACGACTGTGATGTGGTTCCTCTCTTACTCTCAACTTGCGCGACCTTTCGCTCTAATTGTACATCGTCTGCAGCCCACGGCCTTCGCCGCATCCCACCGCGACCTGCCCTCTCTTCCCCCCCTCTTTGTCCCCCGCAACCCCTGCCGCAGTTGGCTGTCCTCCGCCCAGCCGCCCATACCCCCCGGGGTGGCTAGACTGCTACTGGACGATGGCCGCCTGGTGTTCAACTTCGCTCGGACCAAGAACAACTGGAGGTGGGCGCCATTGAGCCGCTCCTTGGCCAGGAGGCCAGCTGGGGTCGTTTTGGGTTCACTCGGTTCGCCACCGGTTGAATAATCGGTTGGCTCGAGGGCGATGACAAGTTCGGATGAGGAAAAGTTCCGGGAATGCGGCTGCTGCCAATAACACGCATTCGAACACCCTCGCGCCGTGCAGCGACTCTTAGCTCGGTGATAAACACCCGCTCTTGGGGGGCTCGTCCTCTCTCTCTCTCTCTCTCTCTTTCTCTCTCTCTCTTTTTCTCTCTCCCCCATGTCGGCCTTCTAGACATGACCAACACCAAGGCTCGTTCCTTTTGCTCGTAACGCCCCGCAGACATTGCGGACCACCTTTTTCCGATGGTGTCTGCCACTGACTTGTCCCCCTCTGGTTACCTCTCCTCCTCAGGCGCGTCAAGTCGGGCATGCGGCTGTTCCTGAACCTGAACGAGTGGTTCAAGCACATATGCAGCTGGAAGACGCCGCAAGACAGCTGGGAAGTGGTGTTCTGTATTGCGCTGCTGTGCTATCTGCCCAGCACCGCATGCCAGGTACGTGGTGCGGCATCGGTGGTGGTGGTGGTGGTGGTGGACCTCCAGGGGTCCGCCGTACGTCCTTTTACGTCTGCATCTCCCGTCCAGCGCCCCCGCCATACACCCTGCCGCAAGTGCCTCTCACACCTTGCCGGCTGGATGTGTGTTTTGTTACCTGCGGCTGCATCTCCTCCTGTGGCTTCCCCACTGCGGCGCTCAGGTGTGTTACCCTGGTCCGTATCCCACTCGCGCGCGAGGGAAGGGAGGTCCCCGCCACACATGCCGCTCCCATACAGCTGCGTTTTATTTCCTCGTCGCTGTATTTTCCTCCGCCCCATGAAGGCCTCGAGGGCCTCCCGCCGGCCTTCAACTTGATCTTCTAATTGGGCCACAAGCCAACTAGCTACCCGTACATCCACACCCGTACCTGCATCCACACCCACACAACCCACCTGCTTCGGCTTCAGCCCGCCCTGACTCCACGGCTCCGCGACACCCGTCCCCCTCCTCGCTCTTCACTTCCCAGCTGTTCTTGTTCATGGCAGCGCTCCAGGGGGCCAAGGGCTTCATCCGCTTCCGGCGCCGGGTGGCGGCCTTCGTGGATGGCGGCGCCGAGGCTGCGGCGGCACTGCTCATCTCACCGCGCTCAACGGCAGCAGCAGCCACCAGAGCTGGCACGGACGTCGGGGGCGGTGTTGCCGCCGCCGCCGCCGCCGCGGCGGCTGCAGCTGCAGCCGCGGCTGCTGGCGGCAGTGGCAGCGGCACGCGCGAGACTGTTGGTACGGTTGTGGACGTGACCATCGGCGGCGGTGTGATAGCGCCTGGCTCTGATGACGAGGCTGGGGAGGACAGCAAGGTGCCGGTGGGAACTTGCGGAGTTCAGGCGCAAGTACGTGAGCT